TGAGGGGTTGTGTTACGCTTGCACTGTGTTGCGTGAGTGCTGTGCCAGAACCCTCACTATATATGTGTGTATATGAATGTTTGCGAATAGAATACTATCTATATTATAATGTAATTTAGATGTCATTTACATTCTTTTGTGCTTTTTTCACACCTCTATTGTATTTCAGTTTTTAAATCTTTTCGCACTCTTTTCTTATATTTTCCTTTCGCGCATACACATTTTTTTATTCGTTTAAGGCTATAGACTGATAGCCAAGAGCTCATGTTTTTTATCTTTCAGCTAGGGAGCGTTTTTACGATACGATATTTTATTTAACGCGAGGTTCACGCTCTTAACTTTTTAATATTAACTCTTATCCTGGTTACGGCTCAATTTTTAATCTTTCTTATTTTTGATTCATAGTTTTGCTGATTATGTAAATATACCCTCAATGCGCTATCCAGCCAGCTTGAATTTATTGATCTTTACAGCCATAGTTACAGCTTCAACGTCTTCCAAACAGCTAGTAACAATGACTCGATTACACGGGTGCTGACCGCAGCGAGTATTAATCGAAGAAAAGTCGAAGTACATTTCAAAGTCCATACGTTGGAAAATCGATAAAATCGATATTGGTCGTTGACAACTCAATTTGCTTGCATCTGCGTGAGTGACAAATTTGCATCAGTTCTGAGCTAACAATAGTTGTTTCTACGCATCGCCTATTTCTTCGCTTCGCCTCTTGAATATATTTCAGTTCCTTACACTATTGATTTCTGTATTTTACCGTAGGAAGATGCAAGGCTAACCGAAATCCATAGATCTGTATGTACAGTATACGATTAACGTAAAAAATGCATCGCGAAGCACTGAACACCAGACATTTGGTTGAGTTGATCGAGTACCGGATCACCTGACATTCGAGACATCTGTGTGAGCCCCACAACAGACCATCAGCATGGCTAATGTTGAAGTCCACATTTCTAATGCATACTTTTCCATTGCAAATCCTACGATTCGGCAGAATTTGCGTTTGCTACCTTGATATACAGTGTAGTTGATTTTATGATTATGTTTATACATGTAATAAATCGACGAAGGAATCTAACGTCATGGCGACTATTAATTTGTATCTTTATCAAAGCCCTACCTTTTAAAATGTTCCTCGAGGCAATCGTTGCAAAATCGGGGGCCACATCTCGTTTGAACAGGCTCCTTTAGTGCTAAATGAAATATTGAACATTCCAAATCATCTTCGACTTCAGTTACAAAGTCCTCGTCATAACACATGGGTAACTGATTTGCGGGAGCTTCGGCCATTTTGGAAAAAACACTCGAAAGTGAACGGCTTCCTGAGATCAGACACAGACTCACTTTAATAATGACCTGAAATACTTGAGTTGGGATTGTGCGACTGCCTCAGGCAAGTTACTTCCAAAAACAAAAATCAATCATCCTGTATAGCTAAGGGGGTATGGTACCTTAAAATATGGTGATGTTCATGAAAAATTCAATTTCTTGGAAATACAAGACTTACCCTTGAGGACTTCTCAAAAACATTTTTGAAACGATCTTGCAGAATTTTCTTCCAGATGAGTGTGAAATTTAAGGAAAGTACACAGTGGTATAAGCAACAGCTATAGCAACGACTGTTTACTTTAAGAGCGTGACCAAAAATATAGATAAGTTTTAACATTTATGAACGAAACTATTTATAAAAAAAACTTTAAAGACATGCACAACTCGATTGGTATAATTAGTTATGAAAGCTTTTGCCTCGAATTGCCATCACAGGCTCATTCATTCCCCTTATGAGAAGGAATATTTCCCACAACTGCGGTAACGTTTTACAAAATAGAACAACCATTCCACCCCCTCCCCATGAACCATTTACATGACTAAGGAACTTGTTCACAAGCTATTTCTGCATTCTTGGTTTGCTTAGTGGCTACGGCACCCACTCTGTAACAACTAGAGGTGTCAGGACTCTTACAGCTTTGCAGTTTGTTCTTCTTCTTCTGCTTGTCAGTACAGCAACTTCTGACAACTGACTACTTAACTGATTTCTTCTTCTAAATACAACCTTACAATGCACCCAACAATGCTTTCAGGTTATGCGGCGAGTCGACACAAGTTGACACCACTCGACTGTCCACTTAATGGAGGACTAAACACTAGTAGTTTAAACGACGTTTTTAATTCGCGTGCGAAAGTCGCCAGACACCCTCTGGCCAGTTACACTTGTTCCTCGCACTCCGTGCCCAGCCTCAGGACACAGCCACCTCCACGGTCTCATTTTTAACTTCTTGCAACTTCGAATTCGCAATTTTCTAATCGTCCAACGGAGTTCATGCATACATCGCACCTCATCGAAGTCTCTCCGGCTACTCGGACAGTGGATGAATTCATAGTCGGAGAGACTCTGGGCTCCAGTCCGAGTTTCCTCCAGGTTATGCCGATGATGCACAGATGCACAGTGTTCAATATGTCATTTGCCGCTTAAGGCGGTTCCCTATGGTTTTACGATCGCGCGAGCGCTGAGGAAGTAATCTGCGCGCTTAAAGGAAAACGTCAGTGTTTTTCGATATTTTATTACGGCAACATGATCACAAAAAGCAAAACTGACAGTGAATTTTCTCG